TTCACATACCATGTTCGACGTGCGATCCATGATGGAGACTTTCGATTCCATGCCCAACGAGATGAAAAGCTTCATCATGTACCAGTTTTTGCGTCGTTGTCCACGCAAGACCCTCCGATTAGTCGCTGACGCTGTTACCCCTGCTCTCAAATGCGACTTCCTCAAACAGCTTCCCCTCGAGCTCAGCTTCAACGTCCTGTCATATCTTGATCACCAGGATCTCTGCCGTGCGGCCCAAGTTTCCAAGAACTGGCGCAACATTATTGATACCAACGAAACTGGATGGAAGGAGTTGTTTGATCGCGACGGCTTTACTCTGCCTAAGGGCGAGCTCGACAAGGCCATAGTACAGGGCTGGGGCTGGCAGGATCCGGTCGGCGCCATGGGAGCCGAGGTTGACCTTAGCAGAATCAATCTGATGAGCTCACAGGAGACCGAAGTCGCGAAGACTATTGCGAAGCCCGACCCGACTGCAAAGCTCAGAAGCGCAAAGAGGAAGCGGGGTCTTAACATTGGCGGCGCCGACCGGTCCAAGCGGAGGGCGAGCGCGCAAGAAACGGCCCGCGTCGAGGCTGCACATGGTGTAGCCAGGCAGCACAAGTCGGCAGGTCCTCTTTCGGCTGCTAATGCCGCTGCAGCGGCCGTGCCGAACCCCAAGATGGGACTTCCCAGCCTCCAGAAGCTACATCTCTACAAGTCCCTTTACCGCCGCCACCACATGATCCGTCAAAGCTGGACGAGCGGCAAAGTCAAGCCTGGCCATGTCGCTTTCGCTGCTCATCCACGTCATGTCATTACTTGTCTGCAGTTTGACGAAGACAAGATTATCACGGGCAGTGATGACACGCTTATTCATGTCTACGACACGAAGACGGGCAAACTGCGCAAGAAGCTTGAGGGCCACGAAGGCGGCGTCTGGGCGCTTCAGTATGAAGGCAATGTCCTCGTGTCCGGTTCGACGGATCGATCGGTTCGCGTTTGGGATATTGAGAAGGGGTTCTGCACTCAAGTGTTTTATGGCCACACGAGCACAGTGCGCTGTCTCCAGATTCTGATGCCCACCGAGATTGGCAAGTCGCACGACGGATCGTCCATCATGATGCCACCGAAGCCGCTCATCATCACCGGATCCCGCGACAGCCAGCTCCGCGTCTGGCGGCTGCCCGAGCCAGGCTCTCGTCGTTATATTCAGACGGGTCCCCCTGCCAACGACGCAGACTGTCCGTACTTTATCCGCACACTTACCGGCCATACGCACTCGGTTCGCGCCATCTCAGCACACGGTGACACCCTCGTCAGCGGTAGCTACGACAGCACAGTCCGTGTCTGGCGAATCAGCACGGGCGAGTCACTTCACGTACTTCACGGCCACTCGCAGAAAGTGTACAGTGTTGTGCTGGACCATGAGCGCAACCGATGCATCTCGGGATCAATGGACTCGCTGGTCAAGATCTGGGACCTCAACACGGGCGCTTGCCTGTACACACTCGAAGGACACAGCTTGCTTGTCGGCCTGTTGGATCTCCGTGACCAGAGGCTCGTATCAGCTGCAGCCGACAGCACCCTGCGCATCTGGGACCCGGAGAACGGCAAATGTCGGAACGTCTTGACGGCTCACACTGGCGCCATTACCTGCTTCCAACATGACGGCCGAAAGGTCATCTCAGGCAGCGAGAAAACCGTCAAGATGTGGGATATCCGGACTGGCGAGCACGTCCAGAACCTCCTGACGGACCTCAGTGGTGTCTGGCAGGTCAAGTTCGACGAGCGACGCTGCGTGGCAGCTGTTCAGAGAGGCAACTTGACGTATATTGAGGTAAGGAGTCTGAAAGTCACGAAACGATTGTCCTGCTAACTGTGAGGTTCTAGATTCTTGACTTTGGGGCTGTTCGAGACGGCCAGCCGCCCGAGGAGCTGGGCGAGCGCAAATTGCTTAACGAGGCTGAGCACAGCACATTGATGGCCGCCGAAGACTTGTAGTATCGCGGGCGGAACATGGACTAGCATTCACACGGAACGGCGAATGGGGCGCGGGATATGACGATTTGATTCTTACTGCATCACACCATACCCATTACGGCACGACAGCATGATCAGAAGGACGATCACGGAGATACTGCCGAGGACTTGCTATTGGAATTATTTTGGCGTTTGGTATGGGCGGCTTCAGAACGCCGCGGGGTGTCGGGAGAGAATGGAATGCACATATGCGTCGCTGGTTGCATACTTGTAAGCTTAATTAGGCCATCGGGGCTCGGACCTGGGCGTCAGCTCTCAGCTCTCAGCTCTCAGCCTACCTATAAGCCTTGACTCGGTTAGCCGGGCTGTCCGAGCAGCACGACGTATACATACAACATGGCATTTTGATTCTATCGAGGACGTTGTCGATGCGTAATCGTGGGCGTGCAGGCACGACTGCTAGTACGCGACGGCTGAGAAAGCAGCCATATGTTGCTACGTGATTATTCGTCACGGCATCTACCTTCTGCAAAGATAAGAAGTCAAGGCACTGGGTGACTTGAATATGCCAATCACTGGCCATAACACATTTGCGTGCAGGCGCTTTGGAACATATTGCTCGCAGCGGGCTTTTTGACGCCGTTCGTACTGAGGCCTCGTCATGAAGGTTAGTGTTCATATGACTTTACCAGGTCAACGACACCAGGGTGCAGGCCCTATTTAATGCTCGAAGCATTTCTGCCTAGCGAACTTTTCGGTATAGCTCGATGGCCATCCACTACACATGAGCGTTCAAGTCTGTTCATAGAGTGGGAGCATCTCCCAGCGGACAACAGAGACAGAGTCCTGTTTAGCCTCGTCTGGTACACGATGCTGGGGATCCGGCGTCCTGGCATGAGTGCATTGGCGTTCCTTCCTTGCGCCATAGGCTAGTAGTGTCTTCATACGAGTCATGTGCTTTGCTGGTCCCCGACGCGCGTCAATTTCCGCTTCTATGATCACAGGTATCACCCACTGTTTCGTCGCGGGTCTGCTTCAACTGCCCGAGATGGGGCACAATCTTGTTGTATTTGATATCGTGTGTATTGTCTATTTCGTGTTTAGGACGCCTGGCTGCTTTGACCGACGTGTCGCGCCTGACGGTTCGCTCGCTGGGGTCAGGGACAAACGGCGGCCAACGCAGGCAACAACATTCATCCAAAAGAAAGAAAATCATGTACAGGGCTTACATGGCAAAACAAGAGCCTAGGGAGAAAGAAAAAACCAAACAACGCTAGTTCCGCACGTACGACTCGGGCTCCAACTTGTCGACGACGCACTGGTGGCCCACGACGGGATTGCACCGCGCGGCCCGGCCGCCCTCGAGCCTGACGGCATAGTCGACCCCCGAGGGGCTGGACATGCCGTACTGCTGAAAGTCGGTGCTCACGACCTGGGCGCCGCTCGCCAGGGCCGCGTCGCGCATGCCCGTGGTGTCGTTGCTGAAGAGGGTCTCGAGGGGCACGTCGGCGCGCGTGCGGACCCAGTAGTTGAGCTGGACGGCGCGCTGGATCGCGGCCGTGTTGGCGGCGCCCGTGGGGTTGTTGAGCTTGCGGAAGGCGCAGTCGGCGTCGCCCTCGGCGGCGTTGGTGAAGAGGACGCGGCCCCTCGAGGTTGGGGTGGCCCGGCCGTGTAGGTGGTGCGTATGGGAGACACGGGCCCGTTGTCCATGAGGAAGAAGACGCGGCCGCGGGCCGAGTCGAGGTCGGGCCAGCCGCGCTCCAGCACGGCGTCCTCGAGCGTCAGGTTGGTGGGGACGCCGCGGCGCAGGTCGTCGGGCACGATGAGGCGGTCGGCGGGGAAGATGGCGCGGATCTCGGCATCGAGGCCCGCGAGCAGCTTCTCGTCATTCCAGGGGATGGCCTTGGCGCCGCCGAGGAGCACGAGCCCCGGGTCCGACTCGTTGAACTCGATCAAGATGGGCAGGGGAATGTGAGCGCGGTGGGCGTCGCTCCAGCTCTTGACGAGCTCGAGGCAGTGCTTCAGCGTGACACACGTCGTGTGGACGTCGCCGTCGGCTATGTGAAGCACCTTGGTCCCGCGCTCGCGCCAGCGGGGGTCTTGGTCGTAGGGAAGGTTGGCCAGCTTGCGGATCAGCGGCTTGGCGTAGTGCCCGCCCTTGGGGTCGGCGAACACGTCGAGCTCGAGGCTGCGGATCGACTGATAATTGAGCTGAATGTCGAGGGCCGCTTGCGAGTATTTCAAGTCCCGCGAGGAGCCCGGAATGAACTGCTCGATAGTCACCAGCTCCTCGGGCGACGGCTGCAGGTGGTAACTGTTGTTAGAGCCCACACACTGGATCTGGTTCATGCGCGTGGCTGACGACCAGGTGAGGCCGCCTTGGCGCATCGCGGTTGCAAGCGGCCGCCACCATGGGCACGAGGGCTGCACGCATTCGTCAGTATGGCTGGTCTACATCTTCAGCGCAAAAGGGCTCTAGGAGACTCACCGAGGGCGATGAGACGCATGTTGGCTGTGGCTTAGTGCGAGAGAGCTGTGTCGGTGGAAGAAACAAAAAACAACAACAGAGAAACGATGTCCGTCCTCTAAGTGTACATTCAAGCGACGTTCGACCAACGGAATTCCATTTCTGGGGCACGATGTATAGTTTAACGACGTGGTGCGAATGTAACAGCATTGAACTCAACCCATTCGTATCTGCCTCCCTTCGGGGTTCGAGATTAAGACATCGGCCAATGGCAGTCGGACGGGTGTCCATGTGGTCTGAAGCGCGTCAACTGCCGATCGAATCAACCACATGGCTGAAGGCAAAAGTGTCGAAACCCTCCGAGATAGTTGCGACCCCTTGCCTGTGGGTCCTTAGAGGAAGTTATCAAAGCTATCATCGTTGGTTGCTGAGAAAATGAGTGAATCAAAGCCTATGCCTTTACCCCCCGCCTTTTTTTCAACAGTTTTATTCGTGTAGGGATAAGATGCCTTAGTGTACCCGTCCTCACATACCCGTTTATCTTTCCCTGTCGCGTAAGGCAGTGAGCCCATGTTGGATGGCTCACTGCTGGTGGTGATCATGCAATACGGGAGTTCGGATCACGGTGATCTCTGTTGCTGGATCACTGTCCCTGGTGATCCTTTCACGTGACTCGACGCTTGGCGTCTCCAAGGTATCTTTATCGTGCCCCTCGTTGGTGTCATCCTCAGGGTCGCCCTTGGGGTTGGTCTTGTTCCTTGCTTGTTGCACCTAGGGGGCCGTACCTTAGGCCTTTAGACTCTACATCTACTCGGGCCAAGGCCGTTCTGTCGGCTTATGGGATATGGACAGAACTGTTGAGTAGTTAGGAAGGAAGTCGCAGCAAACTAAATCCCCAGTCGACACGGGGCCTTGCACTTCAAAAGTACTGCATTTAATGCTAGTTCCCGTTTGCGACCAGAGCTAGGACCAGGTTGGACAATAATCGCAGACTTGCCGATCGCGCCTCATGCCCTCGATGGCTGACGAGACAGTTGATTATAAGGTCGGGTCGCTATGCAGGCGTCACATGACCCTCCTGACGTTGGTTGACTTGAGACCACTGGACTAAATCCGCAAAAAGCCATGCGAAAGACGGAGTGACAGAAACTTAATTTCAATTTTGCAAAAGGAAGACGCAAAGCGCCATGCCTCCGGGTAGCTGTGCTGTGCACCAGCTCGATAACGCCGACGCCTTTTGCCCTCGTGTCAACAACCCGATACCAACCCTAACCCTGAGTGACAATCATCAACCGTCTCGAGCCTTGAATATCCTTAGCTCCTCAGCCTTATTTCTATCCGATGCGGCCCGTGTTAGACAATAGACTGCCAGAAAGCCACATTCACGTCCTTGGGCCTGATGCCCGGTGCTCGCCCAAGACACACAGATCGTTGCACGAGTTCTAGACAGACGTGAGCCATTCCATCCACTTCTGTAAGAGCAGCAAAGAAATACGTACGTTCCACCAGTATTTCAACGTTTATGCTGACTCGTCTCTTGCGCGGCGTTGCCGTCTTGGTCGAAACCCGCTGCGACAGATCATACAGCATTGGATCCACGGGTACCGTCCCATCCATGAGGTGGTGCGTCGGCAACGGCGCCGCGAGCAGGGCTGCGATTTCCTCTTCCCCCGTGACGGTAGGGCCTGACCAGGTATCCGAGCTGGTGGCCGGTGTTGGGGCCAGGCTCGACCCAACAGTACCAGCGTCGCCCGAGAGCCAGACGGTCGACTTGTCGACAGCAGTCGAGTCCGGAGGGGCCTGAGTCGGGGCGCCGAGCGTCGAATCATCAATGTCAGCCGACACAAAGTCGGCAGCTGGGGGAATGACGATGCCTCGTTGTTGCAGGTACCACTCGACTTCGTCGCAGTCGAAAAAGTCGCCTTCGAAGCCGGGCGACGAGATGCGAAGTCGGTGGTCAACACGCAGGTCTCTCGTCTCTTCGACAGCCGGGCTCCACGGTCCGGGGCCGAAGTTCGAGTCCCTCGCGATTTTACTGCGATTCGGTTCATCAGTTCCCTCGTTTCCCACCAGAGGGCGCGGCCGTGTCAGGCCCGGTTTGCCGTGTTCCAGGCCTGCACCCTTCTCTTTCATGTCTGTCTCGAGCGAAACACTGTCCAATTCGTTCAGATCTTGGAAAAAGGTGCCCGCGCCGCCGAGATGTAGAAAGGGATGACGCCAATTGCTGAGCGTCTCGCGTTGGTTCACACTGAGGCAGTTAGCAAGGCGCTCAATGATGCGTTCTCGGCTCTCGAAGAGCAGGCAGAAGCCGAAGACGCCGGCGACTGCCTCCGGCGGCGGGTTAGGCATGGAAAATAGGCGCACCGCCTGCTCCACCGCCCTGCGCTGCAGCCGCCGACCAAAGGTGCGTTCTTGATAGGAGAGCGACGGCGGAGACGACAGCGCGGGCACGCCGCCGGGGGCCAGCGTCAGATGGCCGGATAAGCCCGGATTTGGCGTTGGGAAGAGAAGGGTGGTGGAGGCGGCGAGGGTCTCGGCCGGCGGCGAGGAAGACGTACCGAAAGGGAAGCTTGCATTATGCACGGTAGGTTGTGTGACGATTTCGTATGCGGGCGCCGATGATGATGATGCTGCCTTGAGGGTGTTGTGCCTCCAGACGGACACGTCCGATTCCGCCGGCTCGTCGAATGACGCCTCTGGCTCGTGATGCACAATGAGGCCGGCCATGAGGATGGGCTGGCTAGCGTTTGTGTGCTCATGGGCGGCGGCCACGTCGGGCGAGCCGGAGACGTTCCGTCGCTTCTCGGAACCGCTGCCGGGGCTGCCCGTGTTTCCCTCCTCAGAATCGTGACCAGGCCCCGCCGGCGGCTGCTTGTCCTCGCTCGAGCTGCGCGCGATGGCAAGAAAGGTTTCCGTCGTGGCCTGCAGCTGGCGCCCGAACTCGGGCAGGGACTCGAGGAGCCCGTCTGCCACGGCGTAGTCGTAGAGACGCATGAATGCATTGCTCATCTGCTCGTTGTTCTGTTTCAGTTCCTCGACCTGTTTCTCGAGCGTCTGAATAGCCGTCTCTTTTCGGTTTCGATAGGCCCTCTGGGCGAGTCGAATCTGGGTGCGGCGGCGCTGGGCGCCTGTCAGTAAGCTGAGTCAAGAGGGACGAGGGGGGAGGGCGGCAGCGTCAGTGAGGCCGCAAAAGTGGCGCCACTGTGGCGGCCAAGGGATGGACTGCCGTTCATACTCACATCTTGGGCGGTCTGGTCATCCGTGTCGAGCTTGGGTCTTCCTCTCTTCTTCTTGTCCGGCATATCGCCGTCGTCGAGAGCATCAACCGCTTGCGTCATGGACCTCTTGGTGCCGTGGCGCGACGCACGATGAGATCGCGTGCGGCCTTCGTCGGCGCCGGGCGTGGAAGGCGTTGGTGTCGGTCGAGGGGGCAGGCTGCGAGGGGCTCGGAAGGAGGATGCACTGCCGTCATGATACGACTCGGCATTCAATATGGAGAGCTCGGGATGCATGGAAAGCACCGTCTGCCCGTCGGGCAATTGGGTGAAGGGCCAATTCAGCGGGCGCTGCTGTTGGTGCGGGTGGTGATACGAGTGGTGGTGATAGAAGGTCGGGTCGTCGGTGGTGTGTGGATCGTGGTTGGGATCGTAAAAGTCGGACGGCGCTGTGTAATTCGGAATCTGCGGCACAGCGCTGGGCTCGTCGCTCGTCGGGAACCAGGCGATGGTGGTCTGCAGTTCGGAGGCGTGAAGCAGTCGTGGATCATGAGGGTGGCAGAGGGTCGAGCCAGACGAGGATGGCGGCGACGAGACAACACCAGGAGCGGCGGCGGCAGCAGCGGCAGCGGTGGAGTCGACGAGAGGCGGGTGAGCGACGAAGTAGACGGGCTGCTGAGGGTGCGGACCAGGCTGCTGGCTGTGATGCAGGGGCGGCTGCGGAAGAGGCGGTTGGTGGTGAGGGTGATGGTGATGAGGGTGGTGGGCGTGTTGGTGCTGCGGCTGAGGTGGCCCGATTGACTGATGGTACTCAGGGAGAAAGGCCTCGGGGGCGAGCGTTTGGGCCTGGGCCTCGAGATGGCGGCGGCCGTGTTGGTGCTGGTGCTGGTGCTGGTGCTGATGCTGGTCGGATCGCTGTTGTTGCTCGTACTCGAGAAGACGATGCGAATCATGTGAGCGCAATTGTTGGGGGTTGTTGGGGCCCTTGCGGGTCTTCGAGTCGTTCCTGGCCTTTTGGGTCCAGCGCTGGCGACGCTAGCGACCCAGCGGGCTGAAGGTGCTGTTGCTGGTGGTGCTGGTGCTCCTGCTGGTGCTGGTGCTGGTGCTGGTGCTGAATCAGGCGCTGGTGCTGTCGCTGCTGTCGCTGCTGTAGCTGGTGCTGTCGGCTCAACTGCCGCTGCCGAGGTCTTTGCGGTACGACAGCTGTTGCTACGGCTGCTGACAACTCCTGGCCTGATGACGCTGGGGCCTGTAGGGCCTGGGCCTGCTGAGGCTCTAGCTCGAGGCCTAGATCCCCATAATGGCTGTGAGTGTGGGCCCCCGCGTGGCCCCTCTGGCGTCGGTCATCTCCTGAATCCGCACCACCAAGCTGTTGCTGCTGCTGCTGATGATGTTCGAGGTGCAGCAGTGGCGGCAGAGGCGGCGGCTGCTCAGAGTAAAAGCTCCCAGAACGTGGGAGCGCGGCACGGGTTGTATACGGAGGTACTGGATCCGACCACGTCGTTGTGAGTGCGGCGGGGTAGAGACCGACGGCGACTGAGCGGCTGTCCACTCTGTTCTCGTCAACGTCGTCGCCGTCTTCCTCGTCATCTGTCTTTGGATGGCCAGGACCCAGGCGACAACCTGAGCCTGAGCCTGGGCCTGGGCCTGGGTCCAAGTCAGGGTCTGGGTCTGGGTCTGGGGGCGGGCGCCCGCGTCGGGACTGCCGATTACTCATCGGACGAATTGGTGCCCGAAGGCGACAGAAAGGCGGCACGGCGCCTCGGTGATCTGTGCTGTGCAGTACTGACCGACTGACTGCCTCAACTCCCGTGGAGCACGGCAAAAGGTCAGGCACAGCACAACGGGGCAATGTAGGGGCCCGTGGCTCCTTGTAGTAAGGTCGCTCAGGTCCGATCTGGGGACGTCAGTCTGCTAGCGCGTCTCATCGAGTCAAGACGAAGAGGACCCTTTGGGAGGGGGGCGGGGGGTGGAAGGCAGTGTAATAAATGGCAACTGAGTATGAATTTGACGAGAATGACTGATATCAGGATGTCTGTTTCCCCCGAGTGTGATGATGGCTCACCCAGCATCTGAAATCCACCACGACTCTTCCACAAACAAGTGAAACAGGACCGGACTGGAAGGGGCGGGGAGGGCAACAACGTGAGATGGCAAGTGGAAAAACAATTTCCCCCCTGTGAAGCAGAGTCGGTGAATAGACGGGCGAGGGGTGGAGGGCAAATAGTGATAAGGGGGGAAAAAGGCAGGCGGATTCCAGGAGAATAATTGATGAGAAAGGAAAGAGAGCTCACCTCGTCAGGCAAAGAAAGAAAGCCCTACACAACCGCAGGAACAACGAGAAGGTGTCAAATATCCTACCATACCCGCGTGCAGCTGGGCGAAGCAAGAAGAAGGCCGACCTTTTGAACCCACACAACCAACACCGAACGCTTGGGTCCATACGGAGGTGACACGCACCTTGCCCATATGTAGTCCCCCAATCATCATCTACGAGAGAGAGCAGGGTAGGGAAGGGGGAGGCCGGCCTCGACGGGCCAAGGAGGCAAAACCCATGAGGAGATCGCACCGTCATTTGGTGTACTGCCCGTCAGAGCTTGGGCCGCGGGTCACGGCGGGGTTGAGGAACCCCCCGTTCGGGATTGAAAATATGATGAAAGGTTGAGGGCAGAAACAAGGCGAGATTGGCTTGATCCAATCTCTTCCAGAATGGTCTATGTCGGCCAAGCTTGCTTGCCTGTGCGACGTAGGCGGAGGCCGGCGGAAATGGAGATCCCCTACTCGGTAAGTAATTCAGGGGTTTTGTGGCAGCAGAAGATGGTGGTGGAACGGGATCCTGGGACTGGAACATGAATCCGAAGAATCTCGGCCTCATGGCTTTGAACCAGCTAGCCGGCCAGCTGGGACGGACGGACATGGGGGGTGGGTAGAATAAGGATGTGTCTGGCCAGCTGCCAATAAGATGCGCCTCAACTGTCTCTGATATCCGCGGATGAGGACCCAGTAGGTCGTCCAGCAGGCCCCCCCCCAAAAGGAGGGTTGTCTGTATAACGCCTCGTGCGGAGGGGACCGCAACATGACACCTCAGGGTTCTGTCATCAGAAACAGGGTCTCGCTCCCTTCTCTCGCCGTCCGCGTAGAGGGTAAGGTGAGATGAAGGTAGGGCCAGCGTGACAGAACTTACAGAATGCAGGTCCAACCCCCCTTCAGGGTCTTCATGCTCTCGTGTCGTGTCGTGGAACTGTTCTGTCGCGTGGGAATCCGTCCGGTCGGTCGAGGCGTCGAAGCACCGCGGCGAATTTCTCGCCTCACTTTGCATCTCTTCGACGTGATGGCTCACGAGCACCGTGGGCAGCTACCGTCTGCTTCGCTTCGGGTGGTTGCGGCGGTGTCCAGCGAAGCCATCGCTCTGCGTAGAGTAAAGATCACCGCTCTCAGTCGAACCATTTCTCTAGGTAAAACCTCCGCGACACGAGGAGTGGTGGTCAGGAACGCAGGGAAAGGGGGGAAAAAACGTGCTTCTCGCTGGAAGAGCGAATGTGACCAGGATGCCCAGGCCGAGTAGAGAGCGACAGAGGTCCAGGAAACGTGCCAGTACAGTGGCGTCCGCATATGGATTGATTGGTCGACGTATGCCTGCCTCAAAGCCTCAGATTTCGAGCAGCCCAGGGTGTCACTCAGATCGATCACTTGCTTGGGCCGCTTAGTAGGCCCACCCATCCATCTGGGTTGCCATCATGACCCCCAAGTCCCACGTTCCCGGTCGTGAGGACCCTTGGCGTTTTGGTCGACTCGGAGCCGTAAGCATGGTCATCGTAGCGGCCGGCTCGTGTTCCCCGGGACAAGTGTGGTGTGGTAGAGCGGGCTAACGAAGGAGGGATAAAAAGGGGACTTTGTGCTTGTGGGTCTTCCACTGTGACCCCTCATCCAAACGACGCCCGTCATCATGATCACTTCTCACTTTGGGAAGCCGCGTTGCAAGGGCCATTACGATTGGTAGCCATTAGAAGAGGAACCTACCTTGGAGAGGCAGTGAGAATGTGAGAGAAGCAAAACACGAGGACCGAAAGAGTGGAGATGACATGGTCCTCGATGTCGCGTTCTGGGCGTCTCCGATCTGCTCGTCGTCCGACGTCAGAGAGATCATGGATTCTGTTTGGCTGAGGGACAGGGGCCAGACTCAGCCCTGCCCTGCCTGACCTGGAACTCGTGGGAATGGGAATGGCGCCAACGGACGACCAACTTCCCATGGGCCCTTGGGGCGGGTCGTGTCCACCTCGCCCCGTGGCGGAAGGGATCTGATAACACAAACACGTCGGTGGTTGCTTGCATGATGTGGGCGGCCCTGGTGTCGTTCCGAGCGAGCAAGTGGCATTCGGGTGCGCTCCTCGCAGGGCTTCGTCAGACGTGTTCGTTGGGAGCATAGAGGATTGATGGTAGGCGAGGCCAGCGAGGACGGACATGGGAGAGTTGCCGAGTTGCACGATGACCTCAGAGACAGCTGGCAGGCGTAGGCGTGCAAGGCGTGGTAGGTGGAAAGGTGCCCCCCCAGGAAACGGTCCACCGTCCAAGGGTCCCACTGCGAAATGCGGAGTTTTAGCGGCCTTTTAGCGGCCGTTCCATGTACCCACAGCGCTAAGAGAAAAACGGCGCCACCCACAGGTGCCTTAGTCCGCCTGTTCGTCCGTCCATCCGCCTGTTGGTTCCCGTCCCGTTAGCGGCTGCGTCACCGTTGTGGCTCACGAGCTTCCTCCGTGTGGTTGGTGGTGATGCCCCTAAGCTGAACCACTCGTCCGTTGACCCTGGGGGCTTCCCTCAATCGCGCTGTTTCGTCTTAAAAGCAACGTATGGGGGAGATGCAGCGAGTTGGGCCGAGCATCGTGCTGCGAGTCGCACGACATTTGGCATTTGGCATCTGACATGCCAACGTTCCATGCCGTCTGCACAGGCCGCTTTCCGAGGGTGAGGCTGCCAGTGACGATCCCTCCTGTCCCAATCCCCTCCTCGGCCATTCCCCCTTCACATTTCTACCTCATCACCGCCCTCTCTCTGACGGATGGCCTTCCTGCGACAAGCATCCGAAGGATGACTGCATCCCTCGCAAACAGGTCCCGTCACAGCATGCGCCTCCCGCAACATGTCGCGAGCCCCAGCGTTCGCCACATCGGCTACAGGGCCGCATCCTGCCTGCAGCTCGCCCGCCCACGCGCGGCCCGAGAATTGGGGTCCTGGGACGACAGCACGAGGCTGACAAGCGCCGGCTGTGACGAGCAGCATACGACACGGCGCTATGGTGGCGGCAATGAGGCTATCGTCAGTGATCGGCGAGGTGTGGCCAAATATGGACTGGTCTCGGCCATCTTCACATGGTGTCCATCATAGGGGGCTGGCTTCCGACAGAATTCGGAGACAAAAGAATAGAGAGATCTGCTTCGGTGCATTGTGCATGTAAAAATAAAAGACAGGGAGTCGATCATCTCAAGACTCGAACCATCATCGGGTAGTGGTACCCTCTTCAAAAAAGATCGTCATCACAGGTTGAGGTTATTCTCATGGACTGGCGTCTCGTTTCAGCTCACATACTCCCAGCCTGGCCAGCCTGGGCAGTCTATTTAGCTAGTTAGGTAGGATGGTCGTCATCACGCACGCCACCGGG